ACTGGTCAGGGCGATAAAAAGATATTTTAAAAGAGTTCGTTATAGGCATCAGAAACCTAAAAAAAGGAGGACCTACTCTATGATCACTCCTCTTCTTCTGAGTGCGGGAGCCACTGCACAAGGTAATTCAAGAAAACATAACCCCCTCAAAACCATTTCTGGCCTAGAAATGTATTGCATAATATTGTGTTACCATTTCAATTATGTTCATTCTAAATTGCCATTCAAATAAGCTTGCATTCACAACAAGGAAGCCATCCAGGTTCAAGCCCCAAACAAAGCCCTGCCCAGGCCACAGAAGAGCCAACGGGAGGGTTTCTCCAGATGCTAGGGCAATTGTGTCCTGCAGCCGGATGCTCCTTACCTTATAGCCAAGACGTGCCGCCCGTTGCAGGAGGGTCTCGCCCGCGTTTTTGTTCACAATGAGCCTACGTGCCTCTGGGGGAATCTGCAGGGCTGCTGGGGGCTCTGAGGCCTCCTCTAGGCTGGCACTTCGGCACTTAGAGGGTGTGCACAGTTCTGTGGTTTTCACTGAGGTGGGAGTCTTGGGAGATCGTGTCTTCTGCTGGTTCCAACGTCCTTTGCCCTGGAAAGCAGCGATGTAGTCCTGGGTCAGCACGGGTTCCCATTCACTTCTACCCAGAGAGCAGATGCTAATGGGGCTCAAATCCTCAACCACACAAACCAACCAAGGAAGGACGAAGGAATTGGACATCAGAGATTGAGGGGACATCTCAGCTTCTCTCAAGCACTCTGCATGCCTTCTGCAACCTGTCCCAATCTCCATTCATAGAGGTTTGTATACATCATCCCTATAAGCCAGCGGTTCTCAACCTGTGGGTCGCGACCCCTTTGGCGGTCGAACGACCCTTTCACAGGGGTCGCCTAAGACCATCCTGCATATCAGATATTTACATTACAATTCATAACAGTAGCAACATTACAGTTATTAAGTAGCAACGAAAATAATTTTATGGTTGGGTCACAACATGAGTAACTGTATTTAAAGGGCCAGAAGGTTGAGAACCACTGCCATAAGCAGAAGCAAACTCTGAGAGTAAAGATGAGTGGAGACAACTAACTTTGACTAAAGCCTTTGTGAAAGCCTTCACTCTTGTTGCAAAAACCTTCCCCCACATCTAACCTTCACCAGGCTTTCCCCATCTTCTACCACACCTGTCCCCAGGTCACACTCATGCCCACCTGGAGTGGTGGAAGGCCTCAGGCTTGGGATTCAGGCAATTATGGGTTTGAATTCTGCCTGTCATCTACTAGCTGCAAAGCCCCAACTCTCTGACCCCCACTCTCTTCCCTGCAGGGTCTTTGAAATCATGAACAAGAGGCTCCAGAACTATGCACAGGGTGGGTGCTCACAAAACATTAGAGTCCTTTCTTCATGAATGACACTCGTGTCTCCTTTTTCCTCCCATTTGAACTGAAATGTCTAGAGTAAGTTCCCATGCCTGTCCCACCATGGTGTATTGCATCTATGGAGACAAGTAACTTGTCTCCTTAGTTCAGGGGTCTTCGTATTGAGAAGAACTGTGCTCCAGGAGCTGCATTCAAGGAACCAGACCCAAGAAGCCTCATCTGAACCTGGACCTCAGTTAGACTATGAGATTCTAAATTTGAAGCTGATGCCATGTTTAGTTGAGACTTTGAAGGTCCTTGGGAAAGGCCCATGCCAGGTGAGTGTGTCTGGCACGTGGGAGGGACATGAATCATTGGGAGGCAGAGGGGCAGACTGTGCCCTCATCAGACTCCAAGATGGCCCCTGATGATCCCCACTTCCTGATATTCACGCTCTTGCATAGCCTCCTCCCACACTGGATAGGGCTAACCTTATGTAGCTAATAGGAGATTGCTCAGACGATGATATGTGACCTCCAAGGCTTGGTCCTAAAAGACAGTGTGGCTTCTCCTTGCTCTCTTTTGGATCACTCGTTCTGGAATGAAGCCATGGGCAAGTCTGGCAAGTCTGGCCTCCCCTGCTAAGTTTTAAGCTCCTTGAAAGCAGGGTTTATACTGTCACCTTCCCTTTTGTTCCTTATAGTGTTTAACTCAGGGCTGGGCACGTAGTTGCAACAAGTATCTGTTGACTTGAGCCATCTGCCAAGCCCTGGGCAGCCAGAAAAGTTGCCTAGAAAGACATGAAGCCAGGAAAAGAGGGCCAGGGCATTTGTTTCCCCTAGTAAATCCCAAGACAACATGAGCCGCTATCCATCCTCTTCCCAAAGGGGCAGAGAGATACAATCACTAGCAGGAAGGCACTAGTTCTGAGTGTAGAATGCTGCTCTGCTGCCAGGAGGACAGTGGTGTATAATGGCAGTACTGGAGGATGCTGGGTAAAGGGCCCAGGTTTTTGCTAAGCGAAGATAGGAGCCAAAGGGTAACTCTCCTTCTAGGGGCCAGAGTTCCCAGAGACAAGGAAGGCTGCCTTAGACGGGGAGGAACAAGAGTAAATGGGAATCACCTCCCCCTCCCCCTTCCATCCTGGCTCGGATCCCCTGTGAGAAGAAGCCTATGGCCAATGCCCCAGCTTCAGTGTTGCAGGAGTGTCCCCCACAAGCCCTACCTTGTTTCCCACTACAAAGCCCCATGCCATAGGGGCAACTGGAGTAGGTGCTGGTGACTGGGAGAGAAAGAAAGGTGCGAGGGAGAAAGTGAGGGCCTGTGAGGGACAAAACCTCTCTGGGAGGTACATTTCAGTGGACACACCGCCAAGCAGAATAACCAGACAGAAGTATCAGCATGTGCTCCAGTATGCGAGGCAGCTGGTCACCTTTGTGTGGGACAAGGCCATCTCAATGTTGGAAGCGCTGGGAGAAGGGAGAGTGACTCCCACCTTTGCCAAAACTGCTCAGGGTTGCAGTGTTGCCCTCCCTGGCCTTCCCCTCCCCCAGTGACTCCTGGATAGAGGAGCAGCCATCCATTCACAGGGTGGAGGCATATGCAAAGAGCAGGATGGGTGGGGCTAGGGGTGGGGCTCCAGTAGGCAGCCTGGCCTGCCTCATGAACCAATTGTCACTTAGGACCCCAAAGTAACCTTGCACAAGTCCCTTAACTTCCAAGAGCCTCAGTTTCTTAATTATAAAGAAGACAGCAGCGCCTACCTCCAAGAGTCTCTGTGAGAATTGAGAGCCATTGTGTGAATGGAGCACTCAGCACAGACCTGACTTTCCTGCCCTTCCCCCCAGAACCCCCACCCCTCAGCCCTCTGGGGGTTGCAGGGAATGGTCATTGCTCCCTTGCTACTCTGTACCTCTCACCCCTCATTGTTTTTGTTTTGTTTTGTTTTTATTAATCCTCACCCAAGGATATTTTTCCACTCATTTTTAAAGAGAGTAGAAGGGATGGGGAGAGACAGATAGAAACATCGATGTGAGAGAGACATGGGCAACTCAGGTAAGTGCCCTTGACCTGAATCGAGCCTGGGACCCTTCAGTCCGCAGATTAACACTCTACCCACTGAGCCAAACCAGCTAGGGCTGCCCCCTCATTCTTGCCTAGGCTAAAGCTTAAGGATGTACACCAACTCAGAAAGCACTTTAGGATGATGAAAACCTTTAACAGACATACTTCCTCCTTTGTTCCCCTAAACACCCTTGTGAGATGGAAGGAGTATCATCTCTTCTTTTTTTAAATATATTTTTATTGGTTTCAGAGAGGAAGGGAGAGGGAGAGAGAGAAACATCAATGATGAGAGAGAATCATTGATTGGCTGCCTCCTGCACAGTCTATGGAGCCTGCAACCTGAGCATGTGCTCTTGACTGGAATCAAACTCAGGACTTTTCAGTCCACAGGCCAATGCTCTATCCACTGAGCCAAACTGGCTAGGGCTCATCTCTATTTTTAAAGATAATAAATTATGTTTGAGTACCTCATCTGAGCTGGAACCAGATTCCAGAATGGGGAAGAAGGGGAGGGGGCAAACGAGCACCTAGTCTCCCACCTTTTGCCAGTGCCCCACAGGGATCCCTGCTTGGGAGCTGGAAAGAGCAAGAAGAAGCACAACCACCATAAAAAGCCCAATATGAGCGTATTTTTGTTGTTGGCAATGATGAACACATATTACACATTTGAACCCAAACTTTCACTTCTCTCAAATGTATAGCTCACCCATGATGAGAACTGTGATTTTTTCAAATTGTATAATGTGGAACCTAACACCCATGTCGTTAACATCAGACCCAAAAGAGATGTCAATTTTAAACAGGGTTTCTAGAATGTTTGCCTGGCTACTGATTGGTGAGTGCCCACTTACCTGCTCCTTTTCGACTGGATAGTGAGTGTGGGGATGGGTGGCTATAAAGGGACCCAAGTGGAATTCCTTCGGCCCCACCCTTCAGCAACCTTTGTCTACTCTAGACATTAACTACCTTGCTCCCGTTTGCTACCTTGATTAACTCAGAAATCTCCCTGATTGATTTCCCAGTGAGTTAAGCACAGACAAAAGCTTCTTGATTGGATGTTAACAAGCTATTCAGGCTGCCATACTCTTTAACTCTTCCTTAACTCAAAAGCGATCCAAGGCTTGTGGAGGAAAAGCCATCATGAGCCAAACCCTATACTTTGCAAATGCTTATAGTCAGCTCTAACTTCAAATCCTCCCCTGAACGCTTCTAGAACTAGTTTAAAATACTTTAATAAATATGGGTTAATGTGATCCTCCCATTCACTCACTGTCTCACTCAGGGAACTGTTGACAGAAGAGCCTCTGGAAAGCCTGCAACCCTAGCCCACTCCCCTCTCCCACAACTCCCCGTAGCTAGCAACACACCTTTGCCTCTTCTGAGACGTTCACCATGTGCTTGGTCTTGCACTTTCGTTTTCCTGATGGCTTTTCTGAATTTTCAAGGCAGGTTGGCTCCTCCAGGTTATTCGGGAGAAAACCATTTGGTGAATCCGAGATCCCTTGGGCTTTGTTGGGCAAGAGAAGGTTCCTGTTCCTGAGGTGGTGCTCCGAACTTTGGGACGAAGTCTTCTGCTTACGGGCCTTTAAATCTGAAGGCACGAAAGAGGAAAGAAGGAATGTCAGGGAAATAGAACACAGAAAATCAAGCCTTCCTCCAACATGAATCAGAGGAATTTGGAGATGAGAATCTCAGTACAAACTTGTATAATTATCTACCTGTATTGGCACTGACAATTCCACTAACTACTTCTCAAATAGACACTCTATTTCAACGTCAGTCCTTCCTCTATAAGCAGGTGACAACTCCCAGCCCTGCCAGGAGGGGGAGACTCATCTGCCTGTCCCCAAAATGAGGGTCATTTTAAAAAGATTTCCCCAAAGCCCAAAGCAAATCAGAACTTCCTTTTCAGCTTTCTCCCTATCCCCTTTGCCTCTTTCTCCATTCCAATAGGAAAACAAATTTAGAAGCTCTGCTGAAGTGAAGTATGAAGCATACTAGAGTGGGGAATAAATGGTGGGAGACTTCCTTCATAGCCTCAACTCTACCCACCTGATTGCCCTGTTGGTCACTCTCTGAGGACAGAAAGATCAAAGCCACAGAAACTCCCTAAAACCAGAAAGTGCCATTGGGACTCAACCGGTGGACAATCACAGAAACCTGCTGCCCCCTGAGGTGGAAATCAAGTTACTGGAACAGACTGGGTAACATCTCTAATTCTACCCACATCTCACTGAACAAAGCACTTCCTAATTTCTTACAACTGGTTCCAACTCCAGAGCAGGGATCCCTGATTGGCACTGGGAACCCCATTACCAAGAGTCCCATCACCCAGGTCAGTCCTAAACCTCACATGTAGAAGGGATAGACAGGGTTTACCCTTATCTCTTAGCTATTATTAGTGTTACATGGCTTGGCCACGCCACTAGCTGTGTGACTGGCTGGAGACAAGTCATAACCTCCCCAAACCTCATTTCTATGCATGTAAAGTGAGGAGAATATAATCCACATCATAGGACTAATACAAGAATCAAATGAGGTAACAAATGCAAAACCCCTTTATAAAGTGTTAGAAAGAGTAAGGCATCGTTATCATATTATTTAAGTGTAAGCTCTTTACATAGGGCCATGCCCATGTGTTATCTCCCCCCATAAGCCTGACCACCATGCCTACCTAGTACATGGCACAAGGTCAGCATGTCTGTCAAATGTATAGCTGCAGCCTTGGTTTCTCCAATTTGTAAAATGAGGGGGTTGCCAAGATCCAAGAGTTCTCAACTCGCCTCCCTGGACCTGGCCACGTGCTCTCACATGTGGCATCACCAAGGGCAGGCCAGATGTGGGAGCCATCATTACAGTATGAGGAATTGACTGTAGGTTATGCAAAGCTTTTAGAAGGCCAGAAGTCACACTACCACTTTCTCCTAACTAGTCCCAACCCACTAGTGCAGTGGTTCTCAACCTTCTGGCCCTTTAAATACAGTTCCTCATGTTGTGACCCAACCATAAAATTATTTTCGTTGCTACTTCATAACTGTAATGTTGCTACTGTTATGAATCATAATGTAAATGTCTGATATGCAGGATGGTCTTAGGCGACTCCTGTGAAAGGGTCGTTTGACCGCCAAAGGGGTCACGACCCACAGGTTGAGAACCACTGCACTAGTGGGTCCCCAAACCCGTCCAAGAACTGCTTTACTAGATGGGTTGTAATGGCACTTCTGATCAAAATATTCTAAACCAGGGATTTTAACGCAACAAGTTTGAGCTGAGGCAAAAAGAGGAAGGGACAGAACATGCCTTGTGAGGACCTCAGAAAACATGGGGTAGCCATATTACAGCATTCAATGCCACAAAAAGGCAGCAGCCCCTACCCCGTTACCTAGACCAGGTCAGGCTCTGGAGTTGGTAACACAGAAAGGAACGGAAAGTGGAGGTAGTGGGTGTGGGAGTTGGAGTAGCTCTTCCTTTCCCTTCTGTTGGTCAAGAAGGGAATAACACAAGCCGAGAACCAAAGAAAAGGTCATGAAGCTCTGACGGGAGTAAGGTAACCTGTCTAGTTTGGGCTCTGCCTGACTCTCTGATGTCCACCTGAAAGGTGGGTAGTAGTAATAGGAGGGATCAGAGTTTTTTGAGAAGAGAGATGTTTGCCAAGAAATTCCTTCATGAAGGTCACTACCAGATCTGGAGGAAGGTGACCAGGCCATATACCAAAGCCAACAACCTCAACTGAAAACGCTTAGACACACACATGGAAGGAGAATGACCTAGTTTCCAACAACTGGAGCTGCCCCCAAGTCAAATAGGAGGCCTTGCTAAGCAGTGTTCTCCATGCTCCTGGAGCTGTTTAAGGAAAGGCTACCTGCCAAGAGTGCTGTGGAGATCTCTGTATTGGATGGAAAACTGGACCAGGCAACCTTGAAGGTTCTTCTGGTTTCAAAAGCCCATAAATTCAATAAGAAGTTTCCAAGTTTCTAGGAAACTAGCCCTCATTAGAGAAGACTGGTGCTACAAAAGCTCCTCTTCCTCCGGACACAAGTGGCTGAGGCCAACAGCTTGACAACTCATTCCTGACCAATCCATTATGGCTCTGACAGAAAAAAAGGGAAAACTATCCCTGCTGTCTCACATAGTTGATGAAAATTAGCTCAATTACTCTCATAAGTATAGGGATAGGTATCATATATGTCTCTATTTAAACAGAGCTGGATATGAAGTTTAGCCTTCTTTGCATTACAACAAGCCCAATATCTACTACTGGCTCAGTGTGCGGTTATTCAGTTTTTGCTAATCAGGAAACTGCAGATATTTGCCAGCAGCTCAGGATGAATATATTACAGGAGACAATCAGTTGTTGCTTCAAGGGCAGAGGTCAGAGAAAGAGAGTGAGTACGAGATAGAGGTGTTATTTTTGAGCCCAGAGATGTGTGTTTTGCTCATCTAGAAATCCATTATAGGAATGCTCCTGAACAGTACTTAGTGAAACATACTGATATTAGCTAGGTAAGAGGCTGTGCCTTCGTGATTACATATTATAGCATCTGACATGGCCAAAGAAAACCTGCTTTTCTCCTTGGGTCCAACAAAATAATGCCACCTCGGTCACCTCAAAGCTTTACCCTGCCTCTTTTCTTGTTTTGTTTTATTAATCCTCACCCAAGGATATTTTTTTTTGATTTGTAGAGAGAGTGGAAGGGAGGGGGAGAGACAGAGAGAAACATCAATGTGAGAGAAATACATTTTTTAGTTGCTTCCTACATACACCTGGCCGAGGGCTGTGGATTGAACCTGCAACCAAGCTACGTGCCCTTGACCAGAATCAAACCCATGACCTTTCAGTCTATGGACCGATGTTCAAACCACTGAGCAACTGGCTATGGCTTCACGCTGCCTCTTAATAGCCTTTGTGGCTTTAAGGGAGAAAGCAAAGTTATGCCTACTTCTACTTTAAGTTATTCTGTTGAGTTGAGAAAACCATTGTACTTTATTTTAGTTAAGAGCTGGAGACATCCCAGAAAAGCCAATTAATGCCCTCCTCCTTCCTGAACCCAAGATTCTAGGTGAGAGAGCCCAGCCTACCAAAAAACCCAACTCCCTCAAGCCAACCAGATAATTCCCTGGTATTGAGTTGTACCATGCCAGGATGTCACTGTGGCCTTGACCATAAATTCAGACTTTTATAACAAATTGAAGGGCTTGGGCCTATGTATCCTCAGCTCACCTGTAGATTAGTCCAAACTCTTTCAATTTCAACCCCAAGCCAAAACCTATGACTAGTGTTAAATGACCCCCTCTGGTCCAGCCAGTGTGTCTCAGTGGTTGACTATCGACCTATGAACCAGGAAATAATGGTTCAACTCAGGGCACATGCCCAGGTTGCAGGCTTGATCCCCAGTAGGGGGCATGCAAGAAACAACCAATCAATGATTCTCTCTCATCACTGATGTTTCTATCTCTCTCTCCCTTTCCCTTCCCCCCTAAAAATCAATACAAATATATATTTTTAAAAATGACCCCCTCACCCAGCCAGCATGGCTCAGTGGTTGAGCAACATTCTATGAACCAAGAGGTCACAGTTCAATCCCCGGTCAGGGCACATGCCCAGTTGCAGGTTTGATCCCCAGTGGGTGGCATGCAGGAGGCAGCTGATTGATGGTTCTCTCTCATCATTGTTTCTATCTCTCTCTCCCTTTCCCTTCCTTTCTGAAACCAATAAAAAATATATATATGTGTATTTTTTTAAAAAAATGACCCCTGTGGCAGCTAAGGCTCATAGCACCAGGTTTCTATGGGTGCAGAGGCCTTTGGCAGGTAGAGTAAAGGCAGAGGGCGCCCAGAAGCTAGAGTCATTGTGGCTTGGGTGACAGCAGCTCACTGGGGCAGCACCCCCTGGCCAGCCTTACCAGCTCTCCCTTTCCGCCGCTGTTCTTCTTCTTGCTCGGTCAAGTACTCCCCAGTCTGATATTTTCGGTTCTTCTGCCGTCTCCGTTTCTTCCTCTTCACCAGACCCTCCTCCTCATCTTCCTCCTCCTCCTCATTGGTGTCCCACATTTGCCGGGCAGCCTCTGTCCTCCAGGGCATTTCTCGGGCTCTCCACAGGTGCCTGCGGCCCTGGCTCAGCAGAGTCTTATCCTGGGCGTGGTGGCTGCGATACTGGGTGTCCCGTTGGGTCTTTCTCACCTTCCGACGCTTAGCTGGGATGGGGGCCACCTCTTCTTCCTCCTCTGTGGGGAAGACTTCCTGGCTTCCCATGTCACTGTCTGCCATTCCAGCAAAGGAGCTACAGATGCTTCCTGTAGACAGGACATACAGAAGGTGGTCAGGTATCTCTTCAAAGGACAAAGCATGGTGTTGAAGCAAGTGTCCTGCATTAGAAATCTGAACGTCTGGGTTCAAGTTCAGGCTCTGGCAGTAATTAGCTGTATGCTGTAGGAAGGTTCCTTCACTTCTGTTTCCTCATCTATGAAACAGGGATACTGTTCTCTGCCTTAAAGATCTTACAGGACTGTTTTGAGGCTCAAAGGAGATGATTTGCCCATAAGCGCTTTAGGGTCTAATATATCACACAGCTATTGAGTATCCAAACCACACACCCTTCCTCATCCATGTTGCCACTTTATTTCATTCCACAGACTCTTACTTAGTGCTTACAAGGTGCCAAGCATTTTGTGAGGAGCAGGAGAGGGCCACAGGTCCTTGCCCCTTGGGAAATTAGGATTTAGAAGAGAGTGAGGGAGGGCAGACTGGCATGGGGTCCCTGCCCCTGCTTACTATGTGACCACCAATCTCGCTGATAGAGCCACCCTAAAGAAGCAGATCTTGGGTCTTCACAAAAGAAGGGTCTCAGGAAAAGCGAAGCAAGAAGGAGTTCCTTTCCTGTGGCACGGCCTGGGTTAGTCCCGCCCAAATGCTCCTCAGCCAGTCCCTCTTCCCTTATGTTGACCCCACCTCCTATTGAGTGGCAAGAGTCCAGGGGTGGAGCTTTCTCCCTGGTACCTCCCCCTATTCCACTGCAGCTGTTCTACACCTCTGGCAAAGCATTTCCCCCTCCTCTCCCCACCACCCCAGGATGATGGTTTCTTCCCTACCCTCTTCTGCCATCTTGCCAAGAGGCCATTTTCCTCCAATTCTGCTAATAACAAAAGTATAATCCTAAATTGGCCCAGTTTAGTACTACAGGGGATCTGACATCTCCCTCAGAAGCAGATCTGAGACACCACCCTTTTTCTCTCAAGGCCCGGCTATTAACTCAACCATCTCCAAAGCCAAGTGAGGTAAGCAGAAGAAAGAAATGGTTTGAGGCAAACAGAGCAGCCCTTGACCAAAGCTTCAAGTAGTCACACCACTTAAAGACAGCAAATATCCAGCAAACTTGCCATTATACAGACCAGCCAGGGGACAAAGTGTTCTGGTTAATCTAATATTCTGGATAATACAGAATCACCATAGAGATCACACAGGATCACCAATTTCTAAAGAATCAAATGCGGTATAATGTGTTTAACGCGAAAATGGGGCTGGTAGCAATGTAAGCCCTCTTCGATGATTCAGAGGACACTTCAGGATTTTGTGAGGCTTCCAGGCTGTCATTATGAGTCCCAATTACCACTGTGCTCTCCATGTGCTGAAGTGTCAGTTAATAGAATGTCAGATAACTGAGCTTACGCTGGGCCCTGCTTCCCCAATCTATCCACTCTGCATAAAAATCTGGGTGAACCAGAGTTAGGGTTAGGGCTAAATGTCTGTATCCAAGCTTGGCCCCAATAATCATGAGATGCCAAAGCTTGCAGTAGAGCCAGTTTGCCTAAGTGGCACAGGCCTTTCCGCTTTCTACCATTGGCTGCCAAAACGAGGTGTCAAATCCCTGTTCTGAAAATCTAAGTAAATATTCCTCACAACTTGGGCAATCCCCCCACCCATCCCCACCCTAGGCTCTCTCGTCTCCACCAGGAGCTGGGCACCTTGGCACAGTGAATCAAATTCCCAAATCTCCAACTGGGTCAATGTCAAAATCACTCGGCTAGATTTCTCTCTCTCTTGGCAGTGCCAAGATGGACCACAGCCTCGCACTCACTCACCAGACTGACTGCGCGTCCGGGTGCTCAGAACCACAGGGATGAAGTCACGGAAACTGCTCTTTGCTTTCTTCTCCAAGGAACCTGAAGTGATGTGTGGTTTCGGGGCAGAAGGCAGAAATATCACAGTCAGAGTCTAAGGACTGGGAAGCCCCCCCTGAGTGGCTCAGGTGAGAAAATCAAGGGAGGGTGTATGTTTTCCCTGGTTTCAGTTATCAGCTCCCGTTAGGCTGCTATCACCTACGTATCTCTTTTCGAGAAGGAGCATTTCCTGGTGGTTTTGAAAACCTGGGAGTTGGGTCATTTCTGCTGACACCAAAAAAAGGCAGTGCATCGAATAGATTCACCAGCATGCCAGAAAGGAGAAGGCCAGGCTGCCTGTATGACTCTGCGGCTGCGGCACCTCCACAAAGTTCTCACAGAGCTGGAGCAAGTCCCAGAGAAGGGTAACCTCAATGAATCTTAGAGGACTGAGCAAGGCAGGAAGAGGGGAGCAGGAAGTGGCAGACAGAGAAAAACTGCTATATAAGAACAGACTAGAAAAGAGGCAGGTCGTGTCAGACGGGCAAGGCCATGAACATAGGCTACTGTGGGCAGAAATACTTGGGCTTCTCTCTCTGATGAGGGCGCCAAGGAGCTATTAGTGGCAGAGGATACGGGTTAAGTACACACCTCCCCACCCCAAACATCTTGTGCATCCCTAAATAATAGAGGTTTAGAATTTCTCTAAACCCTTCTAGCTGGCTAACTGGTCATTTTTAGCTTTTTTATCATGGGAGTTTTCAAGTACACCCAAGGTAAAGAAAATAGTATAACAAACCCCATTCTGCTGTTTCGTCTCAATCCTCATTAAACTCGTTTCTTCTCTGAGCCTGGACCTATTGCAGGGTAATGGATTGCCTACTCTGTTGCAGAACTGACTTTTGCCTGTCTGAAAACCACCTCTTTCGGCCTTCAGACTATGTCTTATTCTATTCTAGCAACCAGGGTGAGGCAAATAAGCCGCTTCTCCCTTCTCTCTTCCCTTTGATTTCAGAGGTGTCAATTATATCCTCCTTGCAGAGTGAGGAAGTCTCACTTTTTGGTCAGTCTCAGAGCCCCTCCTCCCGGCCTGCAGAGGGATCCCTCTGCAGCCCAGCCCAGCCCAGAGGGCCAGGACCCAGGGGCCTACCTTCCTCTTGGCCATCTGTTCGTTTTCCTGGAGACTGGGACTCCGGCTTGGTTGGCTTCCGGTGCTTGTGCTTTACCCTGACTCCATTGTGCTCTTTTCCTGAATCTGAAGCCCCCTTGGGGCTTTTCTTGGTGACTTCCTGGGAGTCACTAGGTGGCTTCCGGCACTGTGGAGAGGTAGAGAAGGTCAGGTCTGAGGTCATTTTCCCTTCCTAAGAAAGCTCTCCTAATATTGAGCCCTGTGTCCCGATTCTGACACATGGACACCAGGTGGGGGCCAGGAAAAGGGACCGCTGGCTGCCTTCCACAGCGGGCTGCAGGGGTTTTTCTGAACTTTATCCTGTGCCCTAGGTAATCCTCATAGACATCTATACCCCATCATTTTAAACAGGTCTACAGAGTCTGCATTCACATGCTAAATAAACACCCAAAGTCATTTTAAACGGTGCAAAATCACTGTGAATGGTATTGACACCAACAACTGAAAATAATTCGCTATACGGGCCAACTCAAGAAAAAATATCTATTTTCACGTGCAAATTAATAACAGAGAACAGATTCAACTGAAACAAGTAGAAAAGCATGACACAGGAGCAATCCAAATCTCCCCACACTTATGAAACGCATGGAAAAGGCCCAGGCATTATTAATAAAGCCACTTTATACTCTGCAGCACTTTCAACTTTTCAAAATACTCTCCTCTTTATTTTATTTGATCTTCCCAACAACCTTGAGAGGGAAGCTACAATCATCCCCATTAAAAAGACAAGGAAACTGAGGTTCCAAGACAATAAGTTAAATGATTTGTCCTGTGCAACACATAGCCCACTGCATATGCTCACTCATGGGCTGCCACTTACCAGGCAAACCTGGCAAGTTAGCATATTTGCACTTGCTGTGACAAAGTGGCAGCTGGGATCAGTGCTCCTGGCTCCCACACTGGGCCTTTTTGCATCAGCTCTCATTCTTCTATTTCCCTACCTGTGTCTTCAACTGTTTTTGCTCAACCCAACTCACACCTCCTGTTCATTGCATCAGACAGGCACCGTAAGGACACTCTCAGCCAAATAGTCACATATTCTCACAAGCTCTGAGGTCTCTTCATTCCACCAAATAAGAAATAGGACAGGGTAGGGATTTTCAGTATCTAGTATCCAGGGAATGCAGAATAAGCAAAATGTCTTAACAATGAAAGCAAGCCCTGGGAAGAAAGTTGTTTCCCCCAAGCAGACCTATACGCCACCATCTAGACTCTCAAGCTTCCTAATTCTGCGACCCTTTAATACAGTTCCTCATGCTGTGGTGGCCCCCAACCATAAAATTATTTTTGTTGCTACTTCATAACTGTAATTTTGCTACTGTTATGAATCCTAATGTAAATATCTGATATGCAGGATGTATTTTCAGGGGTCGCGACCCACAGGTTGAGAACCGCTGAAGGTTATCCCTGTCTAGCTCAGTGATGGTGAACATATGACACGCGTGTCAGAGGTGACACGCGAACTCATTTTTTTGGTTGATTTTTCTTTGTTAAATGGCATTTAAATATATAAAATAAATATCAAAAATATAAATCTTCGTTTTACTATGGTTGCAAATATCAAAAAATGGCTATATGTGACACGGCACCAGAGTTAAGTTAGGGTTTTTCAAAATGCTGACATGTCGAGCTCAAAAGGTTGGCCATCATGGGTCTAGCTCCAGCTAAGGGGTGGCAGTTATCTTATTGATGGAACATTTTCCATGGGAATGGGGATCTCAATTCTCCAGGGACAGGGAAGTTGCCATTCCCCATCAAATTCCGGGGACTCCTACTAACCCATGGACACCACCTGCTTCTTATTCGGCTGAATATTTAAGTTCAGTTCCTCCCTTTGCTAGCTGCCAGTTCCTACAATCTAACGTGTTAAGAGAAAAAAATAATAATTGAGGAGGAAAGGAGATAGGAACTGCTGCTTAAAATCTGACCTTCAGATATGGCCAGAGAAAAACTATTTTAAGTCAGGGGGGAAAAGAAGTTCCTTGCATGTAAATCTGAACATGTCCTACTTATTTCTGAATATCATTTTTCAGCTGGCTCTTTCAAGTACAGATCATTAACTTTTACTTACTAAAACAGACAAAAACAAGTACAACATCTAGAAGGTTTGTCTGTATCTTCTGCAGGAGCAGCACTAAGAGTGAAAATATATTGCGTACTCCAACTTAGGCAAAAAGTTGAGAGGGTGGGGCCACTGTGTAAGATGAATGTTCCAGTGAGCAGGGTTTTGAAAGGTTTTCCCCAAGAAGTTTTACAAGGGATGAGAAGACAAATACACTCAGAGCCATATGAAGAAGAACTCATTCTTCTCTGATGATTCAAAAGGCTCTTCAGGATTCTGCAAGGCCCTGGGCAGGTGGAGTTGGAGACAGGTGACTCTTCTGATTCTTGGCCGTGCCCTGAAAGGGCCTGTTTTAAATTAACTCCTGATCATAGTTTGCTTATCAACGTGTTTTTTTTTTTTCCTCAGGAAAATGGAATATAAGAAAGGAAAGTTCTAAGTTATTTGCTCTCCTGAAAAATGGGCATTTATTAAATCATTACAGGCCATTGCTAAGCACTGCCTCAAGGTCCCTAATCCTGTAACTTTACTCTCTGGCCTCTGCATCTGTCAGTGAGCCCAATGAACTGTCCATCCAAGATAGGAATAGGCAGTGCCTAGCCTGTCATTGAGTCATCTGCAAGATATAAGCTCCATGAGAGCAGACAGCACATCTATTTTGTTAGCAATACTAACAATAATAACAGCGGCCACTACCATTTACTAAGCACTTACTATGGTGCCAGGCATTGTTCTCAGCATTTAAGTATATCACCTCATTTAATCTATGTTTTTTACCAGCTTTGTTGACATATAATTTGTTGAGATACACCATACAATTCAATTGTTTTTAACAGTCACAGAGTTGTGTTACCATCATTACTATCTAGTTCCAGAACTTTTTTTATCACTCCAAATGGAAACCCGATACTCATGAAGCCATAACTCCCCAAATCCCCATCTCCACCAACCTGAGGCAACCACTGATCTACTTTTTGTCTCTACTGACCTGTCTCTTCTGGACATTTCACATCATCATCTCCTTTCAACTTTACACAGCCCTATGAGTAGGCACTATTATTTATTTTAGAGTAAGCACTATCATTGTCTCATTGTATAGATGAGAAAACTGAGAGCCAGAGAGATTAAGTAACTTGACTGACATCACTCAGATAAGTAGGGCCAAGATTCAAACTCAGGCACTGTGCCTGGCTCCAGAGAGCACACTCACCAAAATGCTATACCTCCCACCTGACAATATATTCCCACTGCTTGGGAGAAACTGGCATGTAGGAGCTGCTCAACAAACACTTGCTAAGTGGTCAGTGAAACAGCTGTGCATGAGGGTGAACGATGCTATGGTGTAGCTGAGACGAATGTGAACTTCGGAGTCAATGAGGACTGAGTTTGAATTCCAGCTCTGCTATTTAGTAGCTGTGTAACTTTGGAAAACATACCCACTCAGTTTGTTTCCTTTATTTTCTTATCTGTAAAATGAGTCTAGTGTTTACCTCCTTGGGTTATTTTAAAGATTAAGTTAGATAACATATAGGAAGCTTGTAGTATATAGGAGTTCAACAAATGGTAACAACTATGTTATTATTATTATTATTATTATTATTATTACCCCCAAGGGCAGATCACAATTACCTGAGCAAATGCTCTACTATTTATGCTCTACTATGTCATGTCCTATGTTCCTACTTGGAATATCTCTGCCATACAGAGGTGGTTGTAAGGTCACTGAGTAAAACTCAACCAAATTCTATCCCCAGGGTTCTTAACCTGCAGTCCATAGGTGGGCTTTGGGAAGGGGGTGGGTCCATGGACCCCTTGAAATTATTGTCAAAATTCTGAAGTCATGTTTCTGGGGACAGGCTCTATAGCTCTCATCACTTCTCAAAGCACTCTATAGTCCAAAAAACACTAAAAACTCCTGCCACAAACAAATTCATGGTGCTCTGGCTGCAAATCTATTCATCGATGTATATCAACATCCAATTTGAACGCTTGTTAACATAACTTCCCCTCTACCTTCCTCTCTGAAATCAATAATAAATATATATATATATATATTTATTTAAAAAAACAATCCAGGCCCAGGTGCCCACCTGCCTTTCACACCAAATTTTCAATGGGCAGAGCCCCAATGCTGCCACCCTAAGCATTGGGAGGGGGTAGAAAACTGGTGGATGAGCCCAGAAGCCAAATTGGCTCTAGCCCCACTAAACTCCAAGCAAATCCTGAGCAGGCTCCCCAGTGGTTGAGACAACAACCTTGTCAAAGGCCCCCTCCCTCCCTGGGCCCCAAGTTCTCAAGGCCAGAGGTCATCACGGAAAAGGGAAAGGAAGAATGGTTTTGCTGGGAAGGGCCTGTTATTGATTTCCCTCACCAATACCTTCTTCCACTTTCCAACCTCATCTGAGACAATGGCTTCCCTCACCTCAGGGACTAAATCATTTCCCACATCCTACAAAATATAGCCCCTCCCCATGCTAGAACACCATATATGGAGAATGTGACTTAGAAAGGGGTCAGCAGATTATTCACTCTATACAAGCCTTCCAATCAGTTCAGGTCACAGAGCTACTCAAGAATCCTGCCACGGTTAAACAAGGTTGACACCTGCAGGACAAAGCATGCCACTGGTGTCTCAGCCCTGCCCTCAACCCTCAACCTCAGTCCAATACTCACCTTGGGTCCATGAGAACTCCGGGCTATGACCTTTGCCTGTGGCAGCTGCTCCTCACCATCCTTCTCTTTGCCACATTTTATTTTCTTAGACGGCAGAGATTCAGTCACCCCATCGGTCACCACTGAGTCTGGCTGCCACTTGTTCTTGCAAGCAAAGACCCCTACGCTTTCCTGTTTCACTCGAGTCTGTGCGGCCTTACTCCGAACTTCGACTTGACCCCTCTGGGGAGCTGCTGGGAGGCCATCAGCCCGGAAGCAGGTGGCTAAATTGAAGACCACATCACCGTCCACCTTCTCCATTTTCACCCGCCCCAGGTCCACCTGGCTTCCAAGCTGTGAAAGCTCTGTGCTGGAGCCCCTCTTGCCACTTGGGACCACATCCAAGATGAGTTCCTTGGGGCGGCTGTCATGAGGTAGCAAAGGCAGCTCAGGCATCTTGCGCAGGTTCTGGGGGGTGGCCAGGACCAGCTCATGAGACATGTAGGTGGCCAGCACTTGGTTCTTAGGTTTTGTGTCTCCTGTCAGCTTCAGGCCACAAGCCCCCTGGGAGCCTTCTGTCTTAGGAGTGCCATCAGAGCAGAGGTGGCTCTCTGATTCCTCTGGCCCCTGACTCACTCTTATGTCCCCACTGCTAGGCTGAACAGATAGTGCTAGAGTCCCTGTCTGAGGGCTGAGAGTCAGAAGGACAGGATTGACTTGTTCTTCATAAGGCTTGGCAGCGATCCGGCAAGTTTTGTTCTTTGTACCAGTGTCCTGCTCTGGAGCAAAGGGGCCACCAGGCCGTGGCTGCCCCTCTGGAAGTCCGTGCACAGCTTCACTGGGGCCAACAGATGACATACCAGAGAACTCAGAAACAACGCTGGTGGGCCTGATGGGCACCCCCTGACTGGGGGTCAGCTGCCCGGCACTGGAAATGCCAATGGAAAGCAGAGATGTTTGATGGTATGGTGACCAACCAACAGGCAGGACCTGGGTGCTGGTGGGCTTCCCGTTGACTGAACACCGAGGGTAAATATTTGCTGGCCCCGTGGGCTTCCATAGAGAGAGCTCCTTGCTTTGGCAGCCCGGCAGCCCTGGGGCAATGCGGGCTGGGGTGTAACGTTTGACTGTGCTTGGCTGTCCCTCAGTCCCAGCCTGGCTTCCCTTCTTGCCACAGGAGGCACCAGTGCTCTTAGGCTCGCCTTGATCAATGATGGAGATGGGCTCCTGCTTGGGGAGATGGCGGGGGTCTCGGTTGAGGCCCAGGTTGGGCTCTTTGTTCAGCAGCAGGGAAGCAGGCACTGGGTTGGCCACTCCCACATAGGTGCCAGGAATGGTGCTGATCAGCGCAGTTGAGTTCTTCACCCAGGTGCTCGGGTCCCCATTCCTCACTATCTCAGGAAAGATGACGAAGGGTGAGGCAGTGGAACCCAGGCATGAGGTGACATTGCTGCCGGCAGCCTGGGTTGTACGCTGAGACCTAGAGAGGACCGTGGAGAGGAGGGCCTTGCTGCTGGTGTGCACAGGGGTCAACACGGGCATGGGGGGCGTCTTTCGTTGGTTCGGCAATGGAAGCTTCTGGCGGTTGGACTTAGAGGAGAGGTCGAGGGGCATCTCACTGCACTCAGATGGAGAGGCCATCTCTCGCTCCAGCTGTGGAGGTGACTTGAGGGGAGAGAAGGTAACGGAAGTCCCTTCTGTTTGCTGCTCGGTGCCACCTGTCATCTTGGCGGGTTGCGGTGGGGCTGAGCTCACACTGGGGGCTGGCAGCAAAGGCTGTGGCGTTGGAAGCACCTTGGCAGAAGCAGTGGAGAGGGAAGTATCTGCCAAAGGCCCGGGGACCCCATCAGGCGCAGGCTGGGTGCTGGTGCTGCTGGATGGGGAAGCACACGGAAGCCTGTTCACCTCCAGAGAGACCACCTTGGAATCTGAAGTCAGAGGCCGGGCTACAGAAAATGCATATGGGTAAGACCGTAGCTCTGGGGAGGCCAGCACGCCAGGGATACACCTGTCCTGTAGGTAGGATGGCAGGACAGGGAGTGTAAGAGTGGAGGAGACTCCCAGAGTGGTTGGCAGTGTGGCCACACTGAGTGGCTGCCCACAGCTCGGAGGTGGGATATAGACCAGCGGCTGGCTCGGTGTCAGTACTGTCCCTGTCTGAAAGGACAGAGGGACTTTTTGCATAGCTGGTGCCTGAGCTGCAGGAAAACACACTCGACTCAAACTAAAGGAGGCCGGGATGGGTGCAGACGTGGGAATGGCAGTTGGTGTGGCAGCCGGCATGGGCGTGGGGGCTGGAGTAAAGATTGGGGCTGGGGTGGGTGCAGGCACCGGTGTAGGAGCAAAGGCAGGGATGAGGGTGGGGGTGGAAGGCGGGCCAGAGGATGGGGTTGGAGTGGCCATGGGCACTGATGGAGGGCCAGGAGCTGCTGGAGGTGTGGATGCCGGCATGGGAGCCAGAACTGGAGTGGGGACAGGCGCAAGGACCAGGGTCGGAGCAGAAGGGGGCACAGGAGCCTGGATCAAGGTCAAGGAAGGAGCTGAAACTGAGACTGACATGGGGGAAGGGGCTGGAGCCGGCAGGGAAACAGGGCCTGAAGGCGGAGCAGAAGCCGGCACAGGCACCAAGACTGAGGCTGAAACTGAGAGAGTGTTCGAATCAGAGATGAGTGTGGGCACTGATGGTGGCGCCTGAGCCAGGGCAGGGACTGGTGCTAAGGGAGGGGAAGGAGCCGCAACTGAAGTGGCAACCTGGACAGGAACTAGCCCTGAATGGGGCACTGGGGCGGGGACAGAGAGAGGAACCTGGAATGGATCGGGAACAGATGGGGGGACGGAGGCAGAACTGGGAGCAGGGGGGCAGATGGGTGCTGGCAGCGGACTGAAATTAGTGGTAACCAGAGGCAGGGTTCCCTCCACGGGCACTCCAGTTCCCAGAGTTGCCAAAATGAAAGTATTTTTCTCCCCAACACCATGCCGAGAGTCCAAAGCCTTTACCCCAGCGGGCGAGCAGTCCACCTGTTTGCTCATTTGCGTGCTGAGGGGAGTCCAGGAGCAGTCGGGCCTGCTGCTGCCGGCCTCGGTGCTGTCAGTAGGGGGAAGCTTGAGCCCGTCTTCCGGGCCACTCAGGGGAACCAAAAGGCCCTCGGCCTCTGCCACATTCCCAGCATAGTCCATTTTTGGCTGGGGGCTGTTGGGCTTGTCTTCTGACTTGTGCCCAAGTTTTTCTGTTGCACTGCCATCTGCATCTGCCCCCCGGGCATTGCTGCCACTTCCAACTGCTGTGAGCTCCACCTGCAACGACAGAGCAACGTGCCCATCTTAGTAGTTCTCTGTGGAGGGCTCAAGTATCTCAAGGCCTGGGTGAGGCGATGGCTGGTCCTCTTTGCAACTTGACCAACCGGGTCTCGGCAGAAGCAAAGAGCAGCTGGCCAATTTCTGTCTCACATACAGCAACTCCTGGGAAATACCCTGCCCCTTCCTGTCCCTCTTCTGAGGATGACAGACAGGCTGGGCACATTGCCCGGGCAATTTAGCTCCACCCTTTGGCGGGTGGCATGTGGCTCCACATGGCCCCTTACCTTGGAAAAACTGCTGCTGACACAAAACTCCTGAGATCCAAAGTGCTGGCAGTCACCTGTCGTGGACTCCTCATCAGAAATAGGTGCTCTTCTACCATGGGAGACACAACCAGAGAAGGAACATGAGGCCTAGTCTTTGGGCTCCTGCCATCTTCCCCAGAATGCCCCCTGCCTGCCTGGGTTCCCATAAACCTTCCTGCCTTGTTTCCCTTGCTGGCTTGGGGAAAATCACAAGGAATTGGAGTGTTCAGTTTATAAACAAGAGCCTCCACACGCAGCTTTGCAAATTCTTGCAAAGGAGCCCCGTCTGCTATCTATAGATTCCCCTCTTGGGGTCGTGTATCCTGTTTTCTAGGGCTCTCATCAAGAGTGTGAAAGACACCCCAGCACCTTTGCCTTGTCTCCAGAGCTTACCCATCAAAGTGAGTTATTGGACATTGCCAAAAAGGGGAGAGGTGAGTTACAGAAGATATCAAAGGGCATGCAAACTGGGCTTTTCTCTTAAATGCAATCTTATTTTAAGTCTATAAAGGAATTGGGCTGCAGGTACCATAAGGGTAATCCTTTCCTAAAACAAATAACCACCTCCACTGTTTCATGTTCTAAATATGACTCATCACCCAGTCACCCGATGGGCTTGCCTAGAGCAGATCCATGCTTATTAGTACGTACATGTAATGATACTGATTGGAGGTCACTGGGTGCTGAAGTGCATTTCAAGGGTACAACTTCTTTCCCTCCAGGGTACCTCTTCCCACCTTATAGAGTAGCACCAAGCTCCAGCCAGCCCCTTCCTCCTGCTTTTCTCCCCTGCCTGTGTCCCACCCCTGCCAACTCTCCATTCTCTCCTTGATCTCCCAGCACCACTGCATTCTCTCCCATCCCAAAGCAAGGCCTTTAAAGCAACAGACTCCAAATTCAAATTGATAGATCACAGGGAGAAGGGCTCAAGGCCAGAGATCTGGGTCCCAAAGGAGGAAAACTTAATTGTATCGTCCCACCTGCTCAAAAATCTTCTCTACATTTCGGATAAGAACCTTAGAGCATGGTACATCCTGACTTAAAAAAAAAAAAAAAAAGGAAGTTCAGACTAGGAGGGTGAAGTTAAAGAGAGAAAACCCATTGGAAGTTTGGTGGTTTGACCACAGCAAGAGCGTACCACTGCCTGCCCTAGGGAAGACACAATGGGGCAGGAGCCACGGTGCGAGGGGAGTTTGGATGCAAGAATAAAGCTCCAGCAGAAGTGCCCACTGTGGTTCCTATGGAGCAAAAGATTGGAACGCCCTGTGTGCCACTGGGGAGGTAGATTGCCTGGGTTTTTGGATCCCTTCTTCAGAGCCCTCACTCTGAGCTCCCAAAGTAGCTAGTGCCTGCCGCACCACCACCCTAGCCAAAGGGCAGTCTGGGCACCTGCAGGCAAGCCCATGAGAATGGGGAGGGCCAGGCTAACTTCCTCCCTTTCACTGGAACAGGGCACCACTGAAGGACTCCAAACTTATACCTGGGGAAAGAGAAGCAAAAAGGCAAGGCAAGGGGTTCACTACAGGCCTCTCCCCGTCTTTTCAGGGCCCCAGAGGTGGCAATGGGGAGCAGGGGTGGACTGTTCCCTTTAAAAGACAGCTAAGCTGGTAGAAGTGAGAGGGTTCCATTGCTGGCAATGACTATTGGCGACAAACAGAAATGATAGTAAGGAGAAGCAAGGGCTAGAGATACAGTCAGGGATCTTGCATGGATGGGGCAAAAGGGGGCCTGAGGAAAAGGAAAAACATACTTTGACATTAACTCCCAAAAGACCAGAAAAGCGAGACTTATCCCCCAGCCTTGGGATGGGAGGAGAAGCGTGTCCCAACTAGATTTGCCAAGGATGCTTGGGGGTGGGGGGAGTGTGACAAGGAAAACTAAGCGGAAGTGTCCCCTGTTCACCAACTCCACATGAAGGCTTGCAGAGGAAAAATGCTATTTATTTACATTATTTCCCCTCCTGACCATGCAAAGGGGAGCTGGATACGTACTCAACACCCCCCGCCCCTTGCTCAGCTCCCACCTGGCATAAAATCATCTTGAAAGCAGAAACCCTGCCCTCCACCAGGGAGTGCAGAGCCACCTGCCAGCCCAGAGACACTGGAAGTGGCAGCAGCAGTGGCAGCAGGAGCAGCAGTCCTGGCTATTCCAGCCATCCCACGCCTGAGTGCCAGCCCCCGAGGCTCTGGGAAAATGTCGTGAGGCCACATTTCAAATCCTCTGAGAAGAGGGGTGTGCAAAGCTAAGCAAACATTAAATTGCTCCATTGAGAGAACCTGGGACAGGAATAGCTTGCAGGGGAGGGGTAAACCCGGAGAGCTCGGTCAACACGGCAAGGTTAGGGGGGGTTCAGGTGGCCAGGAGGAGGGAGCAGGGGTCAAAGCAAGCTTCAATCAGGACTGAAAATCAATCCCACAATTTCTTCCCAACAGAGATGACCCTGGGCTGTTACGCTCAAGGCTGTGTTGAACTTAAACCAGAACTGGCCACAACCTTTCCAGGCCGTTTTCCTAATTATTAAGGGCTAGCACCCCTGTCAGACCAGGTCTTTTCTAGTTCCTTGACTACATGACACACACCAGGCTCCTACTCTCCCAGCTCCTGCAGACTTTCCCTGCTTCAGTCCCACCACATCCCAAGACCACCTTCACTCTCCACAGGGTCTTCCCCAAACATACCATATGGGAAAGGCGAAACCTCACCTCAAACTCCTACTCATCCCTCAAGCCCCAACTCCAATGTCACTGCCTCTGGGAAATCTTCTCTTCCTTTATTCCCCAAGGATGTTTGTCAATCTTGCACCTAGACTCCCACAGAACCTGTATCTGTCTTTCTATAGCACTCACCACTTATATCTCATGATGACTGGTTTGCTCTCAATGGGTTTAATAAATGTTTGTTGAATGCAGGAATGAATGGGTGCAAAAAGGAAGCAAGCAAGCAGAGAGCTTTAGCTGGAGGTTTTACTACAGTCAGCCACCTGGGGCCAGGAGAAAGCCCCTGCCCACTGTCCCTGCAGCCATCACTGTATCGGATGAAGCTGGACAGGCTTCCAAACATAACTTTAAAAGTTAAGCCACAGTCCAGCCAACTGTGGTTCAGGAAGTCACGGTTTGATTCCCAGTCAGGGCACATGACCGGGTTGCGGGCTTGATCTCCAATTTGGGGCATGCAGGCGGCAGCCGATCAATGATTCTCATTATTGATGTTTCTATCTCTCTCTCTCTCCCTCTCCCTTTCTCTCTGAAATCAATAAAAATATATATTAAAATAAAAAGAGTTAAGCCACAGGTGCAATGTTATACTCAAAATGTTTAAGTTCCATAAGTTGTAAAGGGCTGAAGAAATGGCTTTTAAATATGGTGAGATCACATTTTGGAAATCAGCTGTAGCATGGCCTACACTGCAGTGGGAAGGTGACAATAAAGGGCAGATGAGATCAGAAATGACAACGCTTAAAAGGTCTTCTTAACTACTAGGCCTATTTGGGTAATTTAACATCCCAAGTAAGGTCCATAAAGAGGGAAAATCAGGTCTGAGGCCCACTCCCTGCTCCTTCTCAGAAGGCATTTAGACTGGACAGTGAAGGAAAGTAACTTATACATTGATATTTTTGAAGGCTCTAGTCCAGATGTCTGCATCGAAGTCTCAACCACTTACAACTAGTTGCCAATGAACACTTAACACAAATCAATAGCACTACCCTGCCTTCCCCCGACCACCCCGTAATAATTATCTATGGCTATACCTCATATGCAAAGGAAAATACCTTTCTCATGCACATATGAGAAGAATTTTGTCTCATTTTCCTTGGTCTTGACTTTCATATTCTAAAATTAAATTCCTTTTAAGTCCATCTCTAATTTGCTCCCCAGTATAAAGAACATTAAGCTGTCAGGTGCTGATGGCTTTTTAAAAATATAAAAAAGGTCTAGTCTCCTAACCTGAACCTCAGACAAGTACACACTTCTCCAGTTAACAACAGCAAAAGAAAGTAGATCCACACAAAGATGCCCATTTCTTTTCCCTTCAAAACTGCCAACACTCCCCCATATATACACATACCCATCCACACTCTTCTAAGATTTATCCAAGGAAAATGCCAGATCTTAAATTTTAGGAAAAGCCACATCGTTCTATGTTTTAGGTGATTGACCAAATGTGAACAGGCAATGGATTGAAACAACGGCTAAATACCAGCAAGCATGGGAGAGCCATACCTTCTCTAAAAATGGGAGCGGCATTGTAACCATCACACACAGCTCTGGCCAAGAATTATGAAAGTCAAATATATAATCTAAAGGCCACTTTGGGTGTTCTTCATATGGGGCATGATCAGAAAATGACAAAGAGGTTGGTCAATGAAATATTCTGGTGTGCAGAAAACTGAACACACACCCAGATGGAGTAGGTACCACCAACTCTTAATTTCGTATGAAAACTACATTAAGCAGTTTGATCTCCTTTATGTAGACAAGGATTTTACTGTGAATCGTCATTAATCTCATGAGGCAGGAAAGCACTGGTTACCAGAACACTCACTAACAGTACCCAGTATAAAGCTCAATGATAGAACTGCCTTTCTTCCAGGCTTATATCAATGGTCAAAAATGTTGTATGCATATCCTGAGCACCAAACGTGGATGCAGCAAATAAAAACTGCAATTGCCTGAGCTTCCCCTTTTTCTACCATCTGACAGTTCTTTTTTAAAAAAATATTTTTTACTGATTTTAGAGAGGAAGGGAGAGGGAGAGAAACATCAATGATGAGAGAATCACTGATCAGCGGCCTCCTGCACACCTGCTACTGGGGATACAGCCCACAACCCAGGCATGTGCCCTTGACCAGAATCAAACCTGGGACCCTTCAGTCCACAGGCTGACGATCTATCCACTGCGCCAAACCATCTAGGGCATGACAGCTCTTAATATGTAGACAAATATCAGTTGGTGAAGTCATCTGTTGGCCTCCTCACCTTCATCTGAACAGAGATGGCAAGGCAGAGCAGGCCACTCACACATCCCAGCCTCGTCCTATCTCAGGAAAATTAGAAATGACTACCAGCCACATCCCCAGGGTCCCTCCCCAGGCCCTGCTGTGGCTAACCCCCGGTGAGTAGGCACCGCTCACTGGAAGCCGGCAACAGCCACCTTCCCAGCCTCCTCACCTCTCCTCGTTGATACCGCACATGCGAATCCGGTCAGAACTGGTCCAGTTGTGTACGCCGCTGTAGAGCGGTGCTGTAGAGATCATGACAGCCACTCACCACCAGATAGGACCTGCTGTGGCCACTTCCCCTAGGAAAAAGAATCCCCCAAAAATCAAAACTTGTAACCACTTGCTTAACCACCTTTAACAAGGAAACACTTAAATAAAGGTAATTATAGCACCCAGATGTTAAAGCCATCTCTCTCATAAGCCAGCCTACCATGGGAAATTAAGGTCCAAATGGGGATGAGGGAGCACCAGCTTTTCAGGAATCCATAGGTTTCAGGATGGAGATGAGAATGCTGTTAATCACCTAGAGTGATTTTCTAAATTATCATAAAGACAGATATGCTTGAGTGTTCGAGGAAATTCAATCTATTTTAGACAAATGAAATGACAGTATATTTTTCTACACACATTTAGCCTAACCAACTACAATTAGAGGGTCGTTCCCATATGTGAACAGTGAAAGACTACTGGGGATCCTTTTCTCGTCAACTCTAATTCATGGGTACTGAAGTATTTGAGTGACGTAGCCAATTTAAGCTCTCCAGAGGAAGCACACGATTTCATTATAAGCTCTTCAAAAATACTCTATTCTGATTCCAAGTTGGGAGTTATACAGATGTGATGCATATATCTAACCTGCTTTAATGCTCCCTCCAAATCAGATGCAATACTCCTTGTACTGTGACCGCAAATAAGCAAAGAAACAAACAACAATGTTCGATCAAGAACCACACATTTCTGTCCTTGTGCCTTCAGTCTGTCACCCCCATGACATACCTCCCTTCACCAGCCAATGTCTAGCTCTCTCTCACTGTTAACAACCACTGCACAGCCAATTCACCTTCGAGAGAAAATGAGGCATCAAAAAAAAAGAGATTTACCCAATAAGCTTATCTTGAGACACTTAAACTCTTGACTTATTAGCCCAAAGCCTTATTCATCAAGGTTCAATTAAACAGAAACCTACAGTGACCAGAATTTTATGCTATTCTCCACTTTCCAAAGAAGCAACTCATAGTCATATTAGGGATTTGTTTAATTCATTCTTTAAACAATTTTCAGATATTGCTCATATTCAACACAATTATACTGTTCATTCAACAAATACTTATTGAGCTCCTACTATGTGCCAGCATTGTCCTAGGACCTAGGTACTGGGGATTCAACAATTAACCAAAAACCCCGCCTCCATGGTGTTTATATTCTAGTGGGAGGAGACTGACAATAAACACATTAAATGATTCTATATTGATTGTAGTGTTAGAAGGAGGCATAACACAGGCCAAGAGGCATGGTAATGGTCAGGGGTGGGAGGCAGAATGGGCTACAACTTGAAAGTGGGTGATCAGGGTAGGTCTTGCTGAGAAGAAGACATTTCAACATCTTAAAGGAAGCAAAGGGACCCATGTGGCTATCTGGCGAAAGAGCATTCCATGGAAAAGGGAACAACCTATGCTGAGGTCCTAAGGCTTAAGGCTACCTGCTAAAATCAAGGAAGAGCCAGGAGGCCAGTCTGGCACACAGGGAGTGAGCGAAGGGAAAGATGCAGTGAGGGGTGAGCAGAGCTGCACACTTCTTGGTCCTCACCTAACTCCCTATCTCTGCAGCATAGGCTACTGATGCCTTCACCCCTTTCCCTCGAGTTGGCCCTCTCCTAGCTGTTCTGACTCTGTGCCTGCTGCCTTCTCTAGGGCCCTTCTCTATCTCCACCCACCCCAGAAACCTGGCCCTTATCATGCTCATTCTCTCCTCACCTCTGCCACCCTTTCCCATCTCTTATCTCTCTCCTATTTCCCTCTATTCTTCTTCATCACCTCCCTTTCACCCTCATATTCTCCCAACAGTCTCTCTCTCCCCCCTTCCCCCACTTCGCTTCTCCCTATTTCCTATGTCTCTCTGGCACAGTCCCTTCTTCCTCCAACTTTCTCTCCTTTCCTGCCTCTCTAGCCACGAGTCCTTTCCCTCCTTTATCTCACTTTCCTCTTTTTCCCTCAGGCTCCACTCTCTCCTCCCACTCCCACTCCTCCTTCCTTCACCCCCGCCCCCACTCTCCTTCCTCACACCTCAGCCTTCAGTCTTCCTCTCTTATCCTCCTCTAGTCTGTCTGGCTCTTGCTGGCTCTCCACTACCCCCACCTCTCTCCCTCAGTGTGTATGTGTGTGTCAGCCCCGCCCCTTCTTGTCTCTCTGCTCATGAGCTCCCACAGTTTCAACTCAACCAGATCTCTACCTGTAGCCCCGACCTCTCTTCTTAGACCCAGACCAGAATTTCCAGCTGCCAACAACTTGCTGTTAATTGGATGTCCACAGAGCCTCTCAAACTCAATGTGTCTCAAACTGAACTCATTATCTGTTCCCATAAACCTGCTCCCCACCCCACCCCCATGCCCAGCATGTTTTCTCTCTTAGTCAATAGCACCACTATCTCCTAGCCTGGAAATTTCAGCACCTTCCTCATATCCAACTCCTTCTCTCTCCCATTGCCCACATCCAATCACCAGCCAAGCCTAAATCATGCCATCTCCATCCTCTCCTACCCTCTGGCCACTAACTTGATGCAGGTCCTCATCATCTTTCACCCAGAATATTACAATAGCCTCTCAACTTGTCCCTCTGTCTCCAATCTCCTGATTCTACAATCAATTCATCTTCTAAAGCACCAGTTCGATCCCATCATCCCCTCCCTCCTCAAAAGCTTTCAATAGCTTTCCTCTGTCTTCCGAATCAAGCCTGTGTTTCTTCGCACCACATTCAGGGCCCTCCATGACCTAGCTTCAAATCTCTGTCTTCTCTGCCACATCCTGCTATTCCCCTGCTGTCCTTGTCATCCTAACCCTTCCCTGAACAGGGCATGCAATTTCAGGACTTTGCTGTTTCCTCACCCTGAAATGGTCTCTCCTGTACACCCTCTTCCTCCCTGTCACCCTCAAGCCTAGCTTAAATGTCATCATGTCATCTCCCCAGCCCTAGCCCCTGGTCAGTTAACTCCTCCCTCTCTGGTTCCAAAGCATTTCATTCCTACCTCTACTGCAGCCCTGATTCTTATTCTCCTCCACAGTGTGGTTAGTTGGAGGAGTGGCATGTCTGTCTCCCCCACCAGGCAATCAGCTACTTAAGGCAAAGAAATACTGCCCGCCTTTTTTGTCTCTAGTCCTCCTGCAATGTCTTACATATAGTAAGTAATTAGTAAATGCATGTTATATGGAACTGAATCCCGGATGAGAATTGAGGTGATAACCCTGAAAAATTATAAGAAGGAAAATCAACCCCCCAAAAAGTATCCACCATGTATCTTACTACAGAAAAAAACTGTTGTACTTCAATGAAAACCCTATGAATTGTCTATAGCACACACCCTTTCGGAGCTGCCAGATCCTAGCCCGGTTCACTGTCTTTAAGCTATTTTGTACCTCTGTAAATTGCAGGTAACTGATGGATATGCAAACTCTGTCTTGTCCCATAGAGTTTGGATTGACTTCCCTCCCTACTGTGGAAAAACCAGTTTTGCCTCCATTTGTAACTCAATTCCTTTGCTCTGTAAAAATTTATGCTTTCCGGACTTTTACATTCAACCATATATAACATCTGTCTGATTCCCTTGTTGATTAATGAGTAAAATAAAATCTTTAACACGTGTTCATTTTTATATCTGTACAAGACTCATGATTTTGCCTTTTCTGAAAATTATCTTTAATATTACTAAGACAGTTATATGGGTTAACACATAATTTTAGAAAGATTTCAACAAGAAGTATGACAAATAGACTGACTGTTTCACATCAGTTCACCAGGACTGCATTCCCTGAACATCCTGGTCAATCAAGTTTTGACTGTTTCTTAGACTGTCCTGGAATATCCTAGTTTAAGAAATAACAGCTCAGCCTATTGGCTGATACACCAAGTACTTTTTTCACCTTTCTCACTATGAAGCATTGGAAGACTCCAGTCATGGAAGGGGTCGTTCTTGCCATAAGATAAATTTCAACACGAATTATGAGTGTTACTGGCAGCAGATAAAAGTAAACTAGGTCCTGGGACAGCAATCAGAGGGGGAAATCCTGGCATTTGGAAACAGAACAACATAAAAAATATCATCACCTAGATAAAGGAGTTTTTAGACTCCTGTCCCCCAGAACAAAATAACAACCACAGAAAGAAAACCAAGTAAAAACCAAAATAATTACCACACAATACTCATTTTATAACTACCTAGAGATCAAAACTGATACTGGCCCTAGACAGTTTAGCTCAGTGGTTGCAGAGTCGGCCCACGGACTAAAGGATCCTGGGTTTAATTCTGGTCAAAGGCACATACTTTGGTTGCAGGATCATTCCAGAGTCCCTGGGGTATTTGTGGGAGGCAACCAACCAATGTGTCTCTCTCACATCAATGCTTCTCTCTCTCTCTGTCTCTTCCCCTCCCTTCCACTCTCTCCAAACAATCATGGAGCCCAGCTGGTGTAGCTCAGTGGTTGAGTGTCGACCTAGGAACCAGGAGGCCACCAGTTCGATTCCTGGTCAGGGCACATGCCCTGGTTGCAGGTTCGATACCCAGTGGTGGTGGGGGGGGGAGGAGGCAGCCAATCATGATGTTCCCCTCTCATTGATGTTTCTATCTCTCTATCCCTCTCCCTTCCTCTCTCTCTAAAAATCAATAAAAACATTTTTTAAATCATGGAAAAAATATCCTTGGATGAGGATTAACGAAAAAAATGATACATACATTTTCACAAGCTCCCAAAGATGAAACATCTGTTTAAATCTTGGCCTCCCAGTCTTGAATTGTGCTTTTGTCAGAGCAGCACCCCTTCCTATATGAAGCCCATTGGTGCTAATTAGCAGTAGCCTTTGCAGGAGAGGGACATGGAGGGATAGAAAGCATAGGCAGGAAAGAATGGATCCTCCTGAGCTGGAGAATAAGCAAGGGGAACTTTTAAAGAGGCACTGATGGCGCCAATGCCCACACAGGATGGGAGGAGTCAAGATGGCTAACAGACACTAATGTTTCCCAAATCAGGATCACTGAGGTGCTTGTTCAAAACACAAGAGTTGAGGGTCCCAGCCCTGGAGTTTCTAATCCAGTAGGCCTAGGGTTTTGTTTTACTAGCATGTCCAATCAAATCACTAACTGCTCAATTGTACACTACTTCTCAAGAGAGGAAAGGAAAAACCTTACAGATATGCCATACTTGGTAGGTTCTGCTGGTGTACACACTCGTATACCACTTGCTTTTGCTCGTAGCACCTACAGTCATGTGTGGTGTGTGTTCTAATATCTCTCTCTCTCTCTCTCTCTCTCTCTCTCTCTGATGGGAACCATCACATCAAAGGCAAAAGGCGAAATTCTTAAAAGGAACTTGGAAGAAACCTGGTAACCCCATGTGACCCAGGAAGCACAGGCACAAGGATATGAAATACCTCAAAGGATTTTCCCAGATGTCACAACCATATAATTGTTAAGAAATGAACAGCTGCATGGCCCCAAAATCAAATGCTGGTCACCACTTAGAAGGCAGTGGGACCATAGTGAGTTAGCCCCACTTTGTGGGGGAAAACTCAAAAGACACGTTCAACTCATAGTGAGAACAAAGGAGAGCACTTGCTCCAGCAACCCCAAGTGTTAAGTGTGGTTGAAAAAAACAAAAAACCAATAAATAAAACTTTTCTATTTAGAAAGCACATGTACACATAAGTAGAAGGAACGAACAAGATCCAAGAGAATGAATCCAACAAGCAGGCAGCAGCAAGTAGGTAGCCAGACATAACCACCAAACTATGAAACAGGAAAAACCAAAAAGAAAATGGACTAATAGGAGAACAATAACTTTTAAATGGTGAAAATAGCAGCGAAGCTGAGAGCAAGCAGGTAGAAAGAAACCATAATGAAGCAAAAAAACTTTCCGAAAACAAAAACACTAGAAGACAAAGGCAAGTGTGAAAGTCATAAAAGAGAAGCCCATAGGATATAACAACCAAAAGGGAAAAAAATGAAATAGGGGAACCTAAAATATTTCGCCATCATGGGCCAAACTGAAACACTGTGAGGAAGCACTGAAGACAGACATTTTAGAAAAGTTTCAAGAGAATATGTTATCAAAAGGGAGAGAACATCAAATTAGAAGCCATCTCAGGGTTAAGGGGAGTTGGTCATAGGGGATGGACGACAGCACTAAAATATCAAAAAAGATTTTACAATTGGATATACTTTTTTGGTTTTGTTTTGAAATGAAGATACCCAAACAAGCAGATTTCACAATGACTACAAGCAAAGCATGGTCATCATGCATATGAGGAAGAGAAGGACACAAAATGAGGTAATAGAGCATCTACATCTGACAAATGCTTTTTACCAAGGTAGAAACTGTTTAAAAAGTTAACCTTGAGCCCTGGCCGGTGTGGCTCAGTTGGTTGGAGTGTCGTCAGAAATACCAAAAGGTTGCAGGTTGGATCGTAGGGAAGGCAACTAATTGATGTTCTGTCTCACAGGGATCTTTCTCTTTCTCTTCCTCCCTCCCCTCCCTTCTTCCTTCCTTCTTCCTCTCTCTAAAATCAATAAGAATATCCTCAGGTGAGGATTTTTTTTTTAATTAAAAAGTTAACCTTGAAAATGGCCAAACAGAGTATGCGCCCATACAAATTCCCTAGAATCATGAACAACATAATGTGAAACCTGCCCATTTATTCATGATTGGATTCTACCATCAAGATAGTAAATTAGAGCCCAACTTATGTAGCTCAGTGGTTGAGTATCAACCTATGAACCAGGAGGTCACGGTTCGACTCCCGGTCAGGGCACATACCCAGGTTGTGGGCTCGATCCCCAGTGTGGGGCATGCAGGAGGCAGCTGATCGATGATTCTCTCTCATCATTGATGTTTCTGTCATCTCTCTCTCCCTCTCCATTTCTCTCTGAAATCAATAAAATATATATATTTTTGAAAAAGATAGTAAATTAGAAACTAAAGATTAGGAAGATCTCAGTTAAACTAAATCTGGAAATACTTCCCCAGGCTTCTTTGATTCACACTGCCTGGTGACCTGGAAGCAATTATGACTTTAAAAAATGAGAGCCGGAAAATATTCATCTTGAAGCCTGGCCCTGAATCTGTCCTCAAGAGGACAGGCGTGGCCAGTAGACAATTTAAGAAGGAGGGTTGGGTCAGTGATGACTAATAAGTAAGGAAAACCAACTTTGGGACCTATTGCTGGGATAGAAATCCCGAGATCTGGGTAAAGCACCCATTAGACCAGTGGTTCTCAACCTTCTGGCCCTTTTAATACAGTTCCTCATGTTGTGACCCAACCATAAAATTACTTTCGTTGCTACTTCATAACTGTAATGTTGCTACTGTTATGAATCGTAATGTAAATATCTGATATGCAGGATGGTCTTAGGCCACCCCTGTGAAAGGGTTGTTGGACTGCCAAAGGGGTGGCTACCCACAGGTTTGAGAACTGCTGCATTAGACAGAAGCATTCATATTCAAATTTCACAGAAGCAAAGGAGAGGCCACCCATTACCTCACTTTGGGGAAAACAGCATCTAAGACATCTCCAAGGAGATCCAAGAGACTACTGGCATTGAGATCCTCGGGCTAAAGTGTAAAGGCCATGACTTCTACCCAATCACCACAGTGCCTTTAGAGAGTTCAAAACATGTCCAAATGATTGTTTTCAATAGGAAAGTGTACACAGACCCAAACAAGGATAACTTTACCTGGCTTTAGATATGGAAGCTCTGCCCAGCCGATGTGGCTCAGAGGCTGAGCATTGTTTTTTTTTATTGATTTTTCACAGAGAGGAAGGGAGAGAGATAGAAAATTAGAAACATCGATGAGAGAGAAACATCGATCAGCTGCCTCCTGCACATCTCCTACTGGGGATGTGCCTGCAACCCAGGTACATGCCCTTGACCGGAATCGAACCTGGGACCTTTCAGTCCGCAAGCCGACGCTCTATCCACTAAGCCAAACCGGTTTCGGCTTAAAACACTTTTTAAAAAGATATGGAACCTCTTGCACAGATCTTACCTTTCTTGTCACTCTGCCTTCTTACATGTGTATTCAATAGGAGACTATCATTCCTATTTTCCCTACTTAATTACAAACCTCATCCCCTAATGAAGACATTCTCCAGTGTAAATTGTTCTAATTTACTAATTTCCCATTTGAGGGTAGTATTCTAATATTCTCCTCATTCCCCACAC